TTTCATGGTAGGTTGCATTTTTTCGTAAATCAACTGTCTCGATAACTTTCTGTGGGTGTGGGTCTAGATGTTCCAGACTTCATCTGTTTTTTTCAGGAACCCAGTTAGAGTTTTGTTTGCTACCTTAAACCCTTTATCTCGTACAATATCAATATCGCGGCCAATATCATGAATGTGCCTATTTAGAGCCCCTATAATATTTTTCAAAGTGTTTTTGTGATACTCCTCAGCCTGTCGTGCTGGCATGTACTTCGCTCTCTTCTCCAAATTTTTGGGTGAAGTCAATTTTTACCTTGGAATAAAAATAATCCCTATCGTGTATTTTTCCTTGTTGCTAGAGATTGGTTGGCATCTTCAAAGGCTTTCCGCTCCTCCTCTGTAAACTTTTTGGATTCCGCACAGCACATGCACTCGCAAAATCTCTTAAAGTATTGCAAAATCTCATCAAAATTTCAGATTTTGCAATACTTTAAGTAGACTTGACAAGGCTAAATGCCTCGATGTTGGGAACACTTATCTTAATGACAAAGCTGCTACCGAGTTTGTGCGTGCAATAGCTACTCTTACTAGAGCTGAGGTTATCAATAAAATTTCAACAGTCCAAATGCATGAGATTCACTTGTGACGGTCGCACAGATTTCACTGGCGAAGATCTGGAAAACATTTATGTTCGCACAGTGGTGAATGGAAAAGTGGAGGATATCTTCATGTACTAGAGCTGGATATTTATAACTTTCTCATAGGCGTTTTTAAATAACTTTTTCTGGAGCAAGCAGTGAAGAGCAAACTTCTAGGTTTCTGTGCTGACGGGGCATCAAACATGCAATGTAACAAGGGATATATTGTGAAATATACATCAACTTCAAGTTAACATATGATTTTATTTCAAATAAGACATCTGAATATCATATTTTAGTAGAAAACATTAAAAAGCCATTGTGTAACTGCATGTGTATGGTACCGTACTGTAATTTATTTGTCTTATGCCAAGTAACTGTAAGACTTCAACTGCAAAGCAATTAATTTCTATTGTAATCAATAATTTGCAATTTTCCTCCCAGGGACCAAAACAGTACTGGCATCACTACTTCGAAGACAGTAGCCCAACATGATTATAACACATTGCTTAGCCCAGAGCCTAGAACTCGCTTTCAAAGATGCTGTGAAGACACGTTTGTCTACAAATGTCTACGACAGGACCATCACTTTACTACTAGGCTTATTTTACTTTTATCTAAAGAGTCTAAAGCAAAAGAAACATCTCTTTGTAATCTGTGCATCGCTGAATATGAGATCCATTCTGCCAACACACATTGGAGGAACACGGTGGCTTCCCCATATCCACAGAGCTATTAATGCATTCCCGAAAGGGTACAGAACATTCCTATTGCATCAGAATGCATCGCACAACACTCCAAAGGCTGAGATATTTACCAAACTGGCTTGAGATGGCCACTTTATTGTGTTCATTTTACACTTAAAGGTAAATGATGATTCTGATTGATAAAGATATGCATAAATGTAGTATTGATTAGAAATATACATTAATAGAGAATAGGATTCATTATCTTGACTTTTTGTCTTGGTTTTAAATGATGAGCTGTTTTAAATTTGTTTTCATGATCATTTTTGTTTGCTGGTTATCCTTGGAGTCATTATGCGATTATCACTATACCTGCAACGGCAGGAGCTATGCATAGGAGATGCATACAGTCGAGTTGCTGCCACCGGGTCCCAAATGGAGAGGTAAGTATTCGTAGTTGTGCAGTCACACCTTACTTAATTATGCTTTAATTTCCTACCATTGGATATTTTAATTGCCTTATTGATCTTTTTCATCGAATTATAATATGAATGTGTATGGACAATGAGGAAGTTGTCGATGCCCTTGAGAGTGGTGAGTTCCAGGGGGAGAAACTGATCTTCAAGGGGTTAAGCCAAAATCTGTCAAGCTTCCTCCCAAACTCATGAAAAGCATTATCGATGCTATTGATACTCGATTTCCAGCTGGAACAAATGCTGCATCTCTGCAGCTGTTGAATGCCACCTTAGTATCCAGTTTCAGTAGCTGGCCAGAACCAGGATATGAAGACATAGCAGGTTATATTGTGTTCTGGGTTCCAAGTTCTTTTCCAGTTGTTGTTCAATATGATAAATTGGTAAATGTTAACTTATTATTAATATAATGCAATATAATTTCTTAACATAGACACTTCTAAAAACACTGGTTTATTAGACGTAACTATTTTAGTTTGAATAATGAAACAATGAACATGCTAACTAAACAAGTGACACTATAATATAATTGTATTGCATACAAACTTGCAAGTCGTATTGTTAATTTGTATATATGCATGTCTACTTGATAGATTCCCCAAATACTCCTCTTTCAATGGCTCTGGTATAGGTAATGTGACTCTAGCGTAGATATCTCTTCCAGTGACTCTAGTGTAGGCATTTGTGACGCTTCTTTCAATGGTTCCAGTGTAGGTAATGTGACTCTAGAGCAGACATATCTTCCAGTGGCTCTGGTCCAGGTAATGTGACTCTAGAGCAGACATCTCTTCCAGTGGCTCTAGTGTAGGTAATTGTGACTCTAGAGTAGTCATCTCTTCCAGTGGCTCTAGTGCAGGTAATGTGACGCTAGAGCAGACATCTCTTTCAGTGGCTCTAGTGTAGGCATTTGTGACGCTTCTTTTAATGGCTGTAGTGTAGGTAATGTGACTCTAGAGTAGACATCTCCTCCAGTGGCTCTAGTGCAGGCATTTGTGACGCTTCTTTTAATGGCTCTAGTGTAGGTAATGTGACTCTAGAGCAGACATCTCTTCCAGTGGCTCTAGTGCAGGTAATGTGACTCTAGAGTAGTCATTTCTTCCAAAGGCTCTAGTACAGGTAATGTGACTCTAGAGTAGAGATCTCTTCTAGTGGCTCTAGTGTAGACATTTGTGACTCTAACGTAGACATCTCTTCCAGTATAATTCCCTGCAGGTAGGGCGTAAGAATTGTATCTGCTGCCCCCATTGCCTGATCGTAAGAGGCGACTAAATTTGGGATCTCATCTTTTCTCTTATTACTCAACAACTTTCTTTTTCCTAATGGGTACCTTGACAATGCCTAACTGTTTGCGTTTAGTTGAGCGTTCGGGGCCCTGCAGGTAGGGCATAAGAATATGCCTGCTGCCCCAATTTATGATCGTAAGAGGCGACTAAATTTGGGATCTTATCTTTTCTCTTCTTTCTAAACAACATACTTCTTCCTTATGTCTCTCTTGGCAATGCCTCACTTTTGACTTTTAGTTGAGCGTTTGCTCCCGAGGGAAGGCTTTGGGTTCTTTCCCCTGGCCGAGACATACCAGAGTCTGGAAAAATGGTAGTTTCTACTCTTGCTTAACGCTCAGCAATTTAGGAGTCGGACGACTTGTTCGCCCGTTGTCAGTATAATGTGACCGGGTGGGGTGTCCTGCTGGGTATTTGCGGCAGTATGTTTCAGTGAGGTAGCACTATAAAGTCGGCATCAGGTCTGCGCTATCACAAGGAGACAAGCACGAACATATCGCAGACTCCCAAAACACACATGCATCCACTACACGCATGCATCTTGTACACAGGGGCGGCCGTCCTTAAATGACCATAGCTGCTGATAGGACGTTAAAACAATAATTAACCAAACCAAACTTGTACTGACCTTGACGATAACAGTGGTGATTTTGAATTTAATGGAAAATATCGATCCCGATTGCATTGTTTGTGCTGTCTTAGCGAAAATGTAAGAAAATAACTACATACACATGTTTGTTGCAGACATACTAGTATAATTGCCAGTTGTTACTGGATTGAATACTGTCTTTTGGTGCTTTTTTCAGTGGCTTTGTTCCGCGGTATTGCAAGTAGGCAAATACACCCACATACCGCCTCCAGCTCACTTACGCAGCACCCATGCATTACATGTGTGTAGACGCCTCATTGAAATGACCACATCTGCAAATAAACGCTCAACTCATTAAACCCAAATCAATGTAAATGATGTGAAATGTATCATACACCATACTTCGTATTCGTAAGTTACCAGTTTTATACCAATAATTCTAACGAACATCGAATCTAATTCATCATTGTACACATAGTAATAATAACATGCATGATTATACTGAGCTGAACCAAGTCTAAACACACACGACGGGAGATAACTCTTACTGATATATTACTCAATGAAACTGTCAACCATTATTCGTGACATGAATACCAAATCACACATATTATGTTGAAACATACTGAATGTTACCGATTATCAAATTACATACTGGTTTTTTTCCTGGTGTATCAACAGTTTGTAAGAAGCATGTATGCACTCGTTCACCCATTGTCAGTATCATGTGCTCGGGTGAAATGTTGCGCTTGGTGCCTTCTGTAAATTATTTCAGTGATGAAGCACTATGATGTTGGCATTAGACCCGAGCTATCGAGAGGAGGCAAAAACATCAACATGCCCTGTCTCCTGTATATACATGTTTAAATCTGCTCTTAATATGAAGTTAAACCCTATACAACAAACCTGTCTGCCTAATTTAGTTTGCATGCCAGTGATTCATTTACCTAGTTTTACATTTGATAAAAAGTGCTTTGTTTTCCGAAAAAGTAGATAAAATGAGGAACTTCTTCACGATTTTCATTATGTCACAAGCATTGGACGAGCGAGTGTTGTTCCGCCCTAGGTAACCCTTGGTTATTTTGTGTTGAGCATTTGCCTACACAAGGACAGTTATAGGATATATAGGAAGGTATACTGATGGAAAAATGCTTCATTGAATGCTTCATTGTTCGTGGAATTGATAAATTATCGATAAGGTATTCATATGCTTAATCCTTGGTTAGTTTGATCAATGGTTAGTGTATGGCAAGCTCTAGCATCGAGATATGTTGTTTGTAGTGTTGACGAGTTCCGTTATTGGGTCAAGTGTGTAGAAAGGATATGACTGGACACATCATGCTGGCGAAGGTGGAAGACATATACACCTCGTCCTCAATTGTAGATGTGCTGCTAGCGTGACATACGACACATACACACAATACAGTGGCTATACGATTACAAGTATACGTTTCTCCGTGGGTCGGTGTGTTTCGGACTATCAATTTTCACGTTTTGATGTGTTTAGCTGGGTTACATGGTATGTATTGACATGGACGTATTTGGATTTTGTCATTGATTATTGGTATTTTATTTGCTATTTCAATTTTTATCTTAATTGGTGCCATTTAATCATTAAAAAATGGCTGTATTTAAAGAATAACCTGATTTGGACAATTATTTGAAATAAACATAATCTTTCAAATATTTAAAATTAAAATATTCAATGTGCGAATTGATTTTGATTAATTTCTTAATTTAAATTACTTAATGTAAAAAATAACCCATTCAACATCAACTATAACCTAATTAACATTAACTATGATGTCGTTATCACGTCTTGTTAAACTTTAATGCGCCTGAGAATGACAACTTACTGTTAAAACCAGATATATATATATAGCAATTGAGAGACTAGTATCATGTTTATGCATTTGTTGAACATATTGAAGTTCTGGGAGTGTTTTAACCATTTTTACTCGACCATTCAGCAGCTTAATTCTACCATAACTTATGAGTCTGATTTGAGCCATACCAGCAATAGGCATCGTCATATTTGTTAAGCTCTTTCAAGGACTTTAAATATACCTCCGCCGTTTATGAATGCTAATAACTTTAACATTATAGAGAGTTATATATAACAGTTCATAAACAACTACAAGTGTCGCCGAGCCGTTACAAATAATAGGTTGGTAGAAAAGCACAGACGTTTAAATAATAGCAGGTCGATTTGATGACGTCAATGTCCTTAAAGTGGAAGACACAGTAGCACTCTAAAGTCGGCATCAGATCGATGCTATTGCATAAGCCAAATAGACCAACATACTGCCTTTATCAGACAAATAAACGCATATTACACACGTCCTTAAATGACCTTATACGACGCCTGACCAAATAAAACAAAGGACCAACACAGAATAACTATTATGCTACAAAGACCCTCCTAATCCCGTTAGTCTCCTGATACAACATTGCAGTTACAGTAGGCCGTGTCTCTCCCAAAACATGAACAGTTCATTGTTGTTTTATGTGACTGTATGTAACTTACGCGGGCAGGTGTATTGAAAAAAAAACATTGCTCTTAACCAATTCTTAGTGTTTCTTTATAATAATATTTTCTATTTTGTTTTGGTATTATACAGTGCATGTGTCAGTATGGTTCATAACATTACAAATTGTGGGAAATTGAATGTGTGTCAGTAAGGACAAGTAAGCCTTCCGTCAAAAGTATGTGACCGGATGGGGTTTCCCACATTGTTGGGGTGTCCAACACTGTTCTGTTTAGATACGACTTTCCAAATAAGGTGGCGCTTTACGCAAGCCAATCTTGGTACAACCTAACGTCACTTTAACGCTTGCTCTCAGCAATATTTCAACGCTATGCGAGGCGGAGGAGAAATGACACTTATCTCGTTGCATTATATGTATTTTTCAAATTCATTTATCCTGTAAGTGTGTATGAGGCAAGTAATAGAGCCATTGTTTATATACAAACCAGACTACAATAGAGACGTCGGCTGTACAGTCATATTGGGTAAAATACCTAGCAAGTGTTCTCTACCGTAAAGGAAGCTGTATGGGATGAGCCGTTCAATCTATTACTAAGGGATTGTTAATACCGCACACTGCGTCATACCTTCCACTTGCTTTGTCATGAACTTGGAAAGGATTGGCCCTAGGTCACACAAAACACATACAAACATTGCCTTAATTTTGTGTTAATCATAGCCAGGGAACACTACTTTTGAAGTGAACGATAGGAACAACACTCACTATTCAATAACAAGTAAAACATGTTAAAACAATTAAAAGGGGCACATTTCATTAATCATCAATAGATATATTTAGTAAAAAAAAAATATACAAGCAAGATGACAGATATCATTTTCTCTCACAAAGTAAAGATCTTGCTCAAATTTTAAATGTTGTAAGTTTAATTTTCAGTTTCAAGTTGCTCTAGCTAGACTTACTGTGGCTGCCAGAAATTAAAAAAAATGTGCTTTGATCTATATCTTGCACACTAATATTGTAGTAAATTTGTTGAAATCAACTCAACAGATCCCTCTAAACTGTAGTGTAAAGTTTTGATCATAAATTATTAAAACATGATTTCAGTATTAGCAACTATAAATCAAACATACAAAGATAACAATGACCTTAATGAAAACAATCATTGAAAGTCGACACTGATGGATAATGGGTGGCTCTCATATATCATATACTATCTATCTCGTTTCCTGTATTTCGCTCTCCAATCCTGTCTTTATAATGTTTCTGATATTTCTGAATGTTTTTGTAGCTATAATACATTAGCTGATATTTCTTTACAGGTATCTAAAGATAAAATGGAATCTAAGATGAGCGACGCTCCATTGAAGTCGAGTTTAATTATGGTTATTTTCATCATTCAGTTTGGTAAGACTGTTTAACATTCACTTGCTATTATTTCTTTTAATACGAACATCCAAAAACACATATACCTGAACAAAGTATCCATTTTATATGTAAGAGTTACATGTAACCACCTTGGGCAGTCGGTACACATATTTTTGTTTTTATTTTGATTTCGAATAGGGAAAGAATATGTATGTTTTTATCTTAATTTCGAATAGGGAAAGAATATGTATGTTTTTATTTCAATTTCGATTAGGGAAAGAATATGTATGTTTTTATTTTAATTTCGAATAGGGAAGGAATATGTATGCTTTTTATTTTAATTTCGAATAGGGAAAGAATATGTATGTTTTTATTTTAATTTCGAATAGGGAAAGTATATGTATGTAAGCAAAATTTTAGTCAAAATCATCATTAGGTCTACGTTATTGCTTAAGAATTTTACAAAAAAGTATATCCTTCATTTCATAAAACGAACCTTTACATAAAATATTCGTGAGAGAAATGATAAATCTGTTGCACAACAACCACTACTTCTGCCTGATTTTAAACTGATGATGCCAGTTTCAACAACATATTGTTCCCGTTGTGGAACCCAAAATTCAAATAAGAGAAGATCATAATAGTGGAGACCCATGCTTAGTTGCTTCGGCGAGAGGATAGGCCTTTTCCTCATTATTTGACGAGAACATGACTGTACTTCACATATATTTTGAATGGGCCGATTTTTCGACAGATTCAGGACAAACAATTTGACAGGCCTAAAACAATGCTCTTACACTTAATTTTCCAAACATATAAAGAAATGATAGTAAAATTGGTCTGTACATTGTACCTAAAATCCTAAATTTAAAACAAAATTGTTGTAGTTCTCATTATGCTGTGTAGTAATGCACTGCAATAAGGGCAAGTAAGCTGATGCTATGGTGCGGGTCTGTCGTCCGTCGTCGTCTATCAACTTTTCTTCTTAGTGACTTCCTAAGAATTGGCAGGCATATATTCATGATATGTCATGAATGCTTACCAACAAAGTTTAAGAACGGTCACAGGGGTCAAATGTGTCAAACACTTCAAACGACTTCTCTAGAAGAACCAAAAAGTAAATAATCATAATATTTAGCTAGTTAATTTAGCTTCCATGGATAGAGCCCGATAAAGTTTGAGAATCAAAATGACCTCAACCTTCTTTCAAGGTCACTGGGGTCAAATATGTCAAACGTTTCAAACAACTTCTTCTGAAGAACTGAAAACAGAATATTAATATTTGCTTCTAGCTTCTTGGGGTGGAGCTCAACAATTTTTGGGAGTGAAAATCACCTTGACCTTTTTTCAAGGTCATATGGGTAAAATACATCCAAGACTATAACAACTCTGAAAAAGTGAAAGGGGTATTATCTTAATATTTGGCTGGTATTATCTTAATATTTGGCTGGTATTATCTTAATATTTGGCTGGTATTATCTTAATATTTGGCTGGTATTATCTTAATATTTGGCTGGTATTATCTTAATATTTGGCTGGTATTATCTTAATAATTGACTGGTATTATCTTAATATTTGGCTGGTATTATCTTAATATTTGTCTGGTAATATCTGTGGATGTAGGTTGACAAATTTGCGAATGAAATGACGTTGACCTTCTGTCAAGGTCCCATGGGTTAACTATGGTAAACACATCAAACAAATTCTTCTGAAAATAGCAAGCCTAGAGTAATGATATTTGGCGGTAGAAACCTGAAAAAGTTTGATAACAAAATTGACGTTGACCTACTTCTAAATGTGTCCAAAACTTTATATGACTTCTTCTGAATAAATTAAAAGCATGGACTTATATAAATAATGATTGGTAGCTTCATAGGATTGAGCACGACAAACTTTGCAAATGAAAATAACCTCGATCTACTTTTAAGGTCACAGGGGTCAACTTCAGTTGATTAACTGAAAGCAATAGAATCTTCATAATTCGCTGGTAGCTTCTTGGGGTGGAGCCTAACAATGTTTGCAAGTGAAAATGACATTGATCTTATTTCCAGGTCCCAGAGAACAAATATGTCAAACACTTCACACAACATAATCTGAATAACCGAAAAACATAGAATAATAAAATATTTGGCCGGTACATGTAGCTTAAACAGATGGAGCCAGGCAAAGTTTGCGATTGAAATATTTGTAGTACAGTATAATATTTAATGAGAATATTTTGGTATGACTGCTTAAATATCCAAGTGAGCGATACGGCCCCGTGTTAACGTTTTACAGTTTTGTTTTATTTTGTTGCATTAAGTTTTACACTGTGTCCGTTGTTATTATTGTTGTCAGGCCTACTTTGATGACTTTATCGTTGCCATTTTCCTCCTATCCTCTTTTTCTTTTCCTAACGCCAAAAATGGCAATGGAGGGGACGTAATGACTCGTCAGAATAATGTGACTTAAGTGGGATTCATCAACTGACCGTATCCGGTGCATCTTTCCCAGTGGTTGGATTTAATGACATTGTTCTCAGTTTCAAAAACGTTTTATACATTTTCTTATTAACAGTTTGCGGGCAACGACCAGTGGCAGTAGACACATGGCTTATGAGCAATAGGGACCGTTACGTTTTATCATATACTGTATCACTACTACGGAGCCCTCATGTGTCATGGTGGTGGAAATCCACAGCACAGGACAGTAGCTTCGTACAACTAAAACACACGGGTATGGATAACTTTTGTGAATCTTTGACTCGACGTGCGACCGCACAGACTGATGGGAACAGGCTGTACGACGTCAGTTTAGAAATTTCAAATATTAATAGCAGCGTCTTCGGGGAATACAAAGTCAAAATAGACGGAAACAAGAACTTGACACAATCTTTCATCATCAACGAAATGCCAGAAAAGACATTGGATGGTATATATTGTTTAATAAGAATAAGAAGTGTGCATGCCGTCGCTCTATAACGTTGCTTTTTTTCTAGCGAAATGAAATCATAGTGAAACAAATGCATTTTTATGAAATTGATATTACTACCGATGGAAACAAATACAGAATCTAGTGTTTATTGAAATTACAAATAATTTAATTCAATAGAGACAGTCTCGTGCAACCGTCCTTAAATGACCATAGCTGTGATAGGACGTAAAACAATCCTAAACCAAACCAAACTCGTGCGACCAACTGCGATCTCTTTTTGTTCGTCGTAGTGAGATTCACTCTGGAACTCGAACAAACCATTAAACCAATTCTAATATAATTTTCATAACAAAACGCTTAAGGTCAAGACAAACCGAAATTGTCTTATTTCCAGATATCTGAGTGGCGGGGCCAATAGGGTTACAATTGGCCATATTCATCTTCTTCGATTTGGACTGGATAGAATCATATACTCTGAAAGGTATCAAAGTGCTTTGTCAAAAACGTGAATTTCATTTTGGCCAGGTCAGCACATTCCTCTTGTGGAGGTGTAAAGTTAACTATTGTTTACCAAAAACTCGTTCGGTTATCTTTGAAATTGGTACAATTTTACATGCTTCAATGTGTCGTGTAGACCGCCCAATATCCGGACGGGTGCCGTACGGCAATCGTAAGGTAGCCGCCCGATGTCCTTAAACTGTGCGGTGTCCGTGGGATATTCGGCCGGCGCCCGCCCGATATCCGGACGGGCATCGGCCGATGCTTCCGGCGGCCGGACGGCACACATACAGGCATCTACAGGACGTGCATCTATGTGTGTAGTGTATGCATTCTTCTTGCGTTTGTGTATACAGGAGACAGGGTATGTTGGTGGTCGTGTTAACTTGTGTGCTTCCCTATATATACACGCCATAAAAATGCGAAATATCGTGTCATACACGGCTACCGTTCGACAGCCCGGCCATCGTCAGATAGCCCTGCGGTATCCTTTCGACAGTTGAAACGGGCTCCCTACGTCATCTTGCAGATGTCCAATCGAGTTAATTCTGCAAATTGTTTGCGAAGGCCGTGCGGTGTAATATATTGTATGACCATACTCGCCAAATCCAAGACATCGGAAAATAGGCTCCGGCGACCGGGACGCCGGGAAGCCGGCCAATTCCTACTTCCCTGCCGGTGGCCGGCGCAAATGTTACCGAAGCATAAGGGAAATGAACGTTTTAAGTATATATCTAAATCAGTAGGGAATAAGTAATTACTTGTACTCCACGGTGGCCTCATGGCCAGAGAAAAAATTACGGTAAAAAAAAAATGAAAAAATTGCAGTTCTGGATATCCTGTTTTTAATGATATGCTAAATTCGAGTATCACCGTGGACTGAGATGAAAAGGTGCTGTTGTCAAATTTGTAAATTTCATTCACCCCAGGGTCACCCATTTTCCTGGTACATATCGGAAAGTTTATACTGGGAAATAACACTTAGTCATAGGTTACTAATTCGCGAATATGATGCCGACTTTATAGTGATACATCACCGAGATATCATACCGAAGGAATTCGGTACAGTATCCCGCTCGGAAAGCTGGTATACTAAAAAACTGACTGTTACAGCGATGTGTTAAGCCCTGTGCTTTTTCTTGTGAATTACCTTAAATGAAAAATAAATTGCAGAAGCATGGATCCGGGCTTACAGATTGCATACACACGTAATTAATATATGATATACAACATGTAAACGTCATGCTAGCTGTTTGATTTCATAGAAAATGTTACCAGATGTAAACGTTGTTTCTATTATATCTAAAAACTGACATCGTGCATGTACATGTTTGAAACCGCCATAAATGAAGTGCTGTAGGTGTAAAAAAAAGAGCGTTTTTATATCATATTTGCATGTGGTTTTACAGGCCTTAGTGAAATACCGGCTGCTTCTGGTGGAGGTATGATCATGCTGATTATGTTATCTACTAACCCACACATAACGTCTACGTACTTCTGATTGTAGCTACAATGCTATGACAAAGTGATTGTATGATTACGACATGCAGTATCACATAATCTTGCATGACTTCACATTTTATATATATTTTCTTTTGTCTATATATTTGAAATTATTAGCTTACAGATGAATAGCTACTTACTTTTATATACTAAATCACTAAGAATTTTCAAGGTAACAAATGTCAATTTGTTTGTGTTTTTTTTTTTATTAACCTGACTTCTCTGATAATCAGCCTGTAGCATGCTGCGGTAGAGGGTCCTCAATTTTGTTCAAATTTCTTGTATTCACTTTGACATTTGCACGAGTATTAAATGTTTATATATTCCTAAAAAATAAAAAATAAACATGAGGTATACACTACAGGTTATTAGATTTAGCCTGTCTATCGTTAGCTTGTTTACTGTCATTTTTTTAAAATACATACGACGTTGAGTCACTTTTGAGATCCCACGTGGGATATGAATATATTTTTTAACCAGATTGGATAACAAGATGTCAAAATGAGCATTTTGTATAAATACCATTGCAAATAATAAAATTTGTAACTTTTTGATATCAAAAATAATATTAAACAGATGATGTGCACATCCGTGAATAATTGAAAAATCTTAATCGATAGGATTCAGTTATAAGTTTTAAGTGTTTGTATACACTTGTACAATTTACTGTTCGAAAACAATGTTTGTATATGAAAAATGGACTTTTTTTACCTTGTACATAATCGTTTATCATATGAGCGATACTCCTCACTTGTAAACTGCTGTATATTTGGAAATGAACTATGTAATGGGTATATACTTATAATCAAATGTATTCAAATTATCAATGCATTCTATTTCAAAGAGAACAAGTTCGAGCTTTCTAAAAGTCAAGTCTACATAGCAGTGAGCGTGGGATGTGGTATACTGTTGGTCGTGGCACTAATCTCATTTGCATTGGTGGTCAGGATAAAGATGAAAAAATCAGGTGTGTACATGCAATATTACAGCTAGGGTAATAATTTAAAGTTTGCACTATAAACGGGACTGGTATTTGTTGTTCGGAAATACTTTTTTTTTTTAATTAAAATGTAGTGATTAAAGGAAAAGGCGATCAACGTATGTCTTATATGTTTATAACAAATAATATTATTTTAATATAAAAGTTGTCATGTAGTGTTCAAGTGTTGTAACATGTCAAAAAAAAATAAGTTTAAAGATCTGAAGTAGGCCTTTTTCAAATGTCAGCGATATTATGAGCTACTAAAGAGCAAATAACACATGCTTATTTATGAAAAAACCCACAAACTATTTGACTGCTTATTAGGCATCTGAATTGTGAATTATTAAGACATGATATTGAATTGTTTGATACTTTTTTCTCTTTCTTTCGTTTCCTCGTGTGAAATATTAATTCTGCCCTATTGAATATTTTTTGTTTTGTGCAATGACAAAGTACTAATGGTTTGATTATATTACAGGTCGATCAACAACAAGTGGGTGAGTTATTACTTTATTCTATTTACTTATATAAATATAGAAAAATGGATAATCTTCACAAAATGAGAAATTCAATATCGTAAATCTATATTATTGCTACACTGTATTTCCTTTTACTGACTTTGTGTCATCTTTTTATAGCTGAATGGTGTTTTTAGATATTGTATTTTAACCGTTTCTTTAGTTAACCGTAGCGATTTCAACATAGGATTAAAAGAACACACTGGCTATATTGAACATTGACGATAAAAAAAAAAAATTATGCTTATGGCTTAAAATATACACGTAATGAAATAGATATCATAACATTCAGTACATAGGTCTTGACCTCGATACAAATGTGTAACGTTTTGTTCAAACAATGACATGATAAATTTATACAGAAACGGACTATACACACAAGTGGTTTCTTAATAGAGGAAATGATTCAAAATGCGCAGTACTTGAATTCACGCCTTTATACAATGAAGTGTTTAGTTGCAACGAAATTAACATTCACGATACTCTTTACTGAAAGATAAAGCATAGTGTAGGCTACTATGATGGCTGGTGAAAATACTCCAAAATAGTCGATTCCTTATCTATATTGTTATTCAAACGAAATATTTCACAGAAGAAATACTCTAGTCTATAGGTATGTCTATTGACATGTCAGCATTCACTGGAGATTTTTGAGCTGCTGAAAGCACAATGTAAAGTTAGCTTTGTAATCTCAAACCGTTATCACATAATTAGGACAAAGTTGCCTTTTGTGTGGCATCTCGCTTCAACATTTTGGTATTCTGAACATGTTCCTTGCAATTTTTATCGTTTTTTCTTATTCACTGGTAAGGCAACTTTGTCCTAATTATGTGATTTTGTTTAGGGTTTCAACACCTTGCTAAAATCATGCTTATTGGACCGAGGTTTTGTAGCCAGGTCGAGAGTCATACACCTTCCCCAACGGTCTGATATTCAGTATGCTGATTTATTTGTCACCAGGGGGAGCGTTGATATATTCCCCCAGCTAACTTGAAACATTATTCCTAAACAATCTAAAATAAAATTGGATTTATTTTACGCTTAACATGTTTAAACATATTTCAGTATGCCATTATTTAGGGACATACAGGTGGATGACAACAGTGGAGCAGTTTCTATATCGTCGCATCACTATACTGACGTCCATTCTACCACCAGATATGAGGGTTTAGGTGAAAAACAAGATACCCACGAATATCTAACGACACGTAATACTACGGGTAGGTTTAAACTTGGAATTTAATGTACCAAAATATAGTTTAAAATCTAACAATCTATGTGAAAAGTGATATAACTAATAAATAATCATGTTGGTTAACGAGATTTAATGGTTCCGGTAAAGCTGTTGTCATTCCAGCTTTCAATGAGAACATGAACGATACGTGCTGTATCTACTGTTTGTTTTGTTGTCATGTGACTCGCAAAGTTAGACTAAGTCATGTATACAGATTAGGTTAGCTAGTATACTGTTATATACACCAAATGATTATAACAAGTGTGTGGGTCTATAAATACATGTGTTTCTCATGAATTGTAGTCAAGAAACAACTGAAGACACCAAATGCAAATGCTGCATCTACTGCAACACTTTGTCTTGTCTTTGTTTTTGGTAGTATCCCAGCATCCTTCTTCATTTCATTGTCAATACGTGGCCGGCTGATGTATCATGTTACTATGTACTGCGACAATTCATTGGGGTGATATTGTAAAGTAGCCTAGAATGAATACCTGTTTCAGCCAAACTACCCAAGGGTATGTTCTTTCAGGACATTGCTACATATGTGTGTGTGAACAGTTTAAGAATGGAGTTACTTTGACCTTTAGTATCACTGATGGCCAAAAGGGTCACGTGGTACATAAAAAATGATCAATTTAAATGACCTTCTGCTAGTGCTTCCTTACTACGTATTTCTCGCGGTTATTTGAGTGGTCAAACTTTAAGGAACACCATCTTTATATGGCTTTAGCTGTTGTGATAATGAGATACCATCAGCACAAAATCATGATTATCTAACCTTAAATTATGTGGACCATTCGGTTTGCAATAGGAAAACCTATCTTGTTTGATAATATGAACATACAGCAATCACGTTTTAGTCTGGTTATAATAATACATTGACATTTAACTTCATCGAATGAACTATAGATGGATGAAACATGATTCCACAGTAAGGGTATGGTAGTAACAATACTTGTACAACTATAATACTAGTTGATATGTTTTGTGTGCTGTGCTATGCTTTTGTATGTGGTTACGAAGTACTAACTTACAAACCTGTATATTTTCACAGAAAACAGAGGAGCATACAATGATCCAGCCAATCACAATTCAGTAAAACCGCCAAAGCAAAAAACTGGCTCGTTTGGTAAGGCAATGAATTCAGTATATGTATTATATGTAGACGAATGTAGACGACACGTGAATAATGATCTGTGTGTTCATAAAGTCAAATGAATTTAATTAGCGGTCAGGTGACCAATTGTTTTGTTTGATTCGAAGCCAAATCTGTTGCCTGAGGCATAAGGCCAATACCAGCAGTTTTGCTGAAGGTAATACAATACATGTGTTGTCCGAAACCTTTTTTTGAGAGGGTCATAGTGTTACTTCGTTGGACCTATCTTAAGACCCGACATTTCTGCAAAACAGGCATGTCCGCATTGACTTTAGTTGTGTAAATTGAAAAGAAAGGATATTTCGGTCAACTTAAATTCTCACAATGACAAATATCAAAGAGATTATTTGTCATAATATGAAAATGTCACTTTTGGTTTTGATCAATCAAAGCGGTTCTTCCTAACTCTATGCAAAAATCCACAGACATAAAGCGACGGAAGAAAAAGTGTTGTTTTTGTACATCTTTGCTATGAGTAATCTGTAAGCAAATCTGTCAAGATATTACAAGAACGAGAACATTAAATATCACCATTAAAGTTAGTTTACGGACAATAATATAATATGTATAGATTATACATTTACTTCCCTGATAGGAGGATAAATTATTTCTCAGAAGTGGCAATGAATGACAAAATTACTATTATTAAGTCAAATGATCAATCATGGAAAGCTGTTCGGTCATCCGAATTACGTTTTTCCGCCACGCCGGTGTTGTTAGATGAATGTTGAGAATTGTGTTATGTTATTAGTAGCAATGACAACGTGAACTTCCATTACAGCCAATACAATGTACGGGGATCCCAATCTCATCATCACATCAGGTATAAGTCCTGCGAGTTTGCTGAAACCAGTTCCGAAATTTACGTATAAAAAGAAACAAAATAAAGGTAAGTAAAATTATTTTTCATGACAGTCTTTGAAAAACCCTCTCTGGACATAAAAACACCCTTCTTTCTGATTGGTCTCCGTTTGGACAGTTATCTTTCAGATTAGTTTCTTTTGTTGGTGTGTATTAGCAATGATATAGTATATACTGTTGTAATTATTTGGATTATTCTTAGCTAAAGACCTTGTACAGTGTCGAGGAGTTGTTATACTCCACTGCATGTCAAAGCTAAGACACTTGTACCCCACTGCATGTTGATAAATAACTAAAATTTATCCCTTCTACTTTAGCGAGACGTTTTTCTGACTCCACATCAGATCGAGAGGACACCGTTACGTATGAAAATGTCGCAAAAGGCGGAAACAGCTATGAAAACTGCAACAATTGTAAGTTTAAAAATAATTTGAAAGTCACAATAAGCGAAACAACATGCATTTGTTAACTACGTCTACCTATAGGACAAACAATGTTGAACAATTTTTCATGTCTATTATAAAGAGATTTGTTTCTTCATTTTTTTCTTATATTTTTCCTAAATTTCTTACAACAAAAACAAGACACTTCCGAGGTGTGAACAAAATAATTTGTGATAGAGCTAGAACATGATATTAACAAAGGAACAATTTACACATAGACCCTTACATAAGTGAAAACTTATGTTCACAAAGATGTGTTCATGCTCAAACTTAGATTTTCAGAACGAACTCGAATCAGTAAAAAATGCACATACACTGCATGCATGGCCTTCATACATAAATGCAACACGACACACACAGCTGCTACGATTTCTCACCGGGTTGAGAAACCTAACGTAACAGTGAATATATACGCACACGCCTATTAACAGTACACATTAAACAAACAAGAAGATGATAACGAGGTTGACCTAGGCAGCCGGTGTTGTGTGTAACAGATACCGACTCGTGTAGGGTGAAACATAATTCCGGTGTGAGCAAAGTTTCCGGTTTAAGTAGTACAATGATAAAAGTAACGTTTCATGGAAAATATTGGAATACTTTCGTAGAGAGCCCTAGGCCAAATTCCTGCGTCACCAACGACATCAGCAGTGTAGATCTGGTCAAATCCAGATAATCTGTCGTCTAAGATAGAAAAATCGGAAAAGTGACAACGACACCACAAGATAAACTTAAAAAGCAAAATCAAACTTCGGCATGGTATTTCAGTGATATAGCACTATATAGTTGGTATCAGATCCGTGTTATCACAAGGAGGCAAGCACACCAGCATACCATGCCTCATGGATTTACACACGGAAACACGCATACACTACACACATGGAGGCACTTCCTTAAAAAACCTTAGCTGTTCATAGGACGTTAAACAAAATTAAACCGAACCAAACCAAACCAAAACACATCTCGTATGAACATAATAAAAATACGTTCTGTTTATACTGAAAACCTACAAATTAAAACTGATTATGATTGTGGACAGTGAGTCCTTGTCTTGTTGATATGCCTGTCATTTTATTGACTTTATATATAATGAATGAACTGGTGATAACTTACTGTATATGTTCTTGTACTGTATTCTTATGGACTTACTTGACTTTCTTGTATCAAGGGGCCGTTAAGATTTCACAAGCAACAAAATATTTAATTAGGATTATAAACAAGGCAAACTGATATGAAAGATGTGTTAAATGGAATGGTATGATGTTACCTTAATACATCATGCTAAGTGCATCAACTGAACTGTGCATAAATGGAAATAAACGAACTGCACGGATAACTTATTATTATTTTTTATATAATGATTGTCTAGACGTGTTGCTGTATTATTAATTTTTAATGTTTCAGTAAAACGGACAAAGTCTATACAGTAAGGACAGATGGATGACATTAACCTGTTGTACCCGGATATTTCTTTACCGAGTATTCCGAATAGTCTTGTTGTATTTGCGTAATGTGTTTTTGTTTCTTGCCTTATGATATTTGAGTTATAATATATATTTTTTCTTATGGTTTGTTTCAAGTCAGATCCTCTAACCTTTAAGAAAGTAGGGTTTTAAAAAAAAAGAAAGATTGAAATTCAAATATAATGAAGTTCTTATATGTTGTTTATTTATTTATTTATTATAGAATTATCGAGAATAAATACACAATGTTACCGAACAAAGAATGTACTGATAATGCTTCGATAATGGTCCATATGTTCAACAATGTAATTTTACAAAACTACTATATTTATGTAAATAAATATTTCTTACTCAGTTTTGTCTGTTTGTTTTGGATAATACTGCATCATTCTTTCCATATTGATGTGTTTTTTTACACCTCAAAATGCTTTTAAATCTGGGTATACTATTCAAATATTACACATTTGCCAATCCAGCCTATTCACTTGTTTTCAATCCAAATGACAAAACTCTATTTCAAAATAAACCAAACTGTAATCCAACCTTTTTCGAACTTATATTGCTCACTTATCCGTTCAAAGCTTGACTATAGTTCCATTATATATTGATTAGCTCGAAAATCGTACTTGCAGATGCTTGATCCAATTCATAACTAGGGGCTTCGTCTGGCTTTAGGTTTCTTTTCGTACATCACCAGCATCAAGCCTCTGCGTTGAAGCAAATGAACCACCTATAAGCGAAAGAAGGAAATTATTATTATTATAGTTTACTTATCTGTTAAAAGCAAACCAAGAAAACCCAGCTTTCCAGTCAGTGTTTTATCCAAAGTATAGTCACCGTTTCAAACGCAATAATAAATTAATTGAATCTTTTGGCGAACGGCTTCAAAAATTGCTTCAAATTTAGACCTACAAACAGTCGAGATTTTTACAATACCTAATATACCACAATTCAGCTACCCGAAATAAATTTAGAATTACACAATTATGTAAAATCTCAATACGAAAGTTCCACAGCTGAAGCAACTGCACTTTGTCTAGCTTTGGATGAAATCGAAAAGAATAAAATATTATCTGCTCCGACTCTTTGTCACTACTACTAAGTATTACAAAACATTGCATAACAAAAAAGTTCTACAATCTTAAACTCTAAAAATGTTGAAATATAGTCTCCACTCCTAAGTTCACATCAAAAATCACATTTTTTAGTGATTCACTACAAAATTAAAGACCTCACAGGGGCCTTGGCACCCACCATCGTACAATAATCATAAGATTTATGTAAGTTTGATCTTTTCTCTTCTTTTATCCATTAGATTGATAGTCTTGTCAAAAGTAAATGCATTTTGTGGTAACTTTTGATTAAAATTTCATAAGGCTGGGTTTGACAGTGTCCTTTCTAAGTTAAGCCTGCTATTACCTAAAATAGTTAAGTGTAAAAATATATTTATATCTAACAAACGATATTTACCTTTCCTGGCAGCCATATTTTTCTCTTGATCAAACTTCTAATTGAAGCACAAAATAAATATACAAACTAGCGAACAGGAAGAACTGTCTTATACAAGGAAATTCTTCATATGGCATTTGGGAAATCTGTCAAGTACTTCTTGAGAAAAATGATAACAAACTTAAGCTGTCAAACTAGCGAACAGGAAGAGCTGTCTTATACAAGGAAAATCTTCATATGGCATTTCAGAGATCTGTCAAGTACTTCTTGAGAAATAATGATAACAAACTTGAACTGTCAAAATCCAAGATGGCAGCCATCGTGGTTTTTTTTATTAGCTTCAAAAAGAAACATGCACAACAAATGACCAATGGAACTCTATCTATGTTATTTGTGTGAAATAATACTTCTTGTGCTATAGCTATAATACAAATAAAATGTAAAAATGTAAAAAAAAAAAAAAAAAAAAAAAAAGGATTACAAACGGGAACTTTAATAACAATATCGTACAAAATATTGCCCTCCGTATTAACATAATTTTAGTTTTCTGTCAACTAATCTTGACTTGGATTCCCGGCCATGTCGGAATAAATGGAAATGAAAAAGTAGAAAGAGCTGTTGAAGCAGCACTTACCTCAATACGAAAGATATTAAACAATCTTTTTCTGATTTTAAACCTTCAATAGCTAATTTTATTTATTTAACGAATTGGCAAAATAAATCGTCTGAAGAAAGAAACATTAAGTTATTTTCAGTTCAACCTAATGTAGGTTCATGTGCAAAAGGAAGAGCAGACCGGAGAGAGGAAGTTGTCCTTTCGCGACTATGCATAGGTCATACCTACATCACACATACATTTTGTAGCTACATTTTGCATGGGGAGGAACAACCTTGTTGTCATGCATGCCATCAACCAGTTACAGTCAAACACTTTATGAATGAATGCGCTAATTTCAAACAAATACGTGACATATTTTATAATGTACCCCCTATGAAACGTTTATTCGATACAGTTTCTGTGCATTCAATCAATGAATAACATTCAATTAATCTCTATAATAAGATATGATATAGTTTATAATGTCTATTTTTACACGTAAAACAATACAAAATAAATAAAGTAACTCATCGGGTAAGGCCGGGGGTGAAAATCCAGGTGAAGGGGAGCTATAGGCAAACGATTGCAAATAACAAATACTATTCATTACGGTCAAACGGTATCGCATATCAGCTCTTTGCGTCAGGCACTGGACATGTAAAACTCCGGACACTCATCAAATTGTTATTTACCTGTTCTGTTACCTTGGAGCCAAACCCATTCTTGACAGCCTAACGGTCGCTGTAATACTGTGTAACAAGCAATGTGAAATTGTATAATCTTGATTATTGCGATGAGAAATTACAGATATATACACAGTGTACATTATCGCATACGAGCCTTCCGTATTTTTGTCATTCCGTAATTTTGATCAACAAATGATACCAAATCGCACAGCTGTGCGGAGAGAAGCGCACAACGGGGCGAACGATTGTTAAATCGCACAGTTGTGTCCACCATGTGTGGACGATGTGCGGACGGTGTGTGAACGATGTATGCGCGGTGTGCGCACGCTATTTTTGGTGAGTTGTGCAGTCCCACAACCGTAGTATCGACACAATCCAAATATTTGCAACGATTGATATTCCTCCGTGGCTTCTGGTTTCACCGGATGTTGATCTCTCACTTCATGAGACATCCAAATCTGACAACGAATCTTACTTTTTTCGTTCAAATTTCTCAAAACTGTAGTTAAAATATAAGGACTTTCAGTCGTTTTATACTGATTGGTAAAAAGATGACCATACAGTTGACGCGGCGATTGTAGCGAAAGATGCTACTGTTGGAGGCCGGATGCCGAATGGTGCGTCAATATTCTCCGCAGAAGCCCATGTTATTTATCTATTTTTCCAAATGTTATTCCAATTTTGTTATATCTATATTTCAAATCATTTCTTGTTGGTTGAAGGTCATTTCATCTGAATAAGAAGTGTTAATTGTCCGTAATATGCCGTGCATTAAGTGGGTTAGGGCGTTTCAATAAACGAGATTGCTTAACACATAGACGAAAACAGGCGAGGACATCTTCGTATTGACGCCTTTCTTTATAGCTTGGAAACCCGTTACTGACAATAATAGTTTAAAAGTGCAGTTTGTTATCATCTCATCGATTCTTATTTTGTAGCCGTTGTTACCAATTGTGATCAATTTTGGCATAAGTGGTTACAAATCTGCAAAATTTGCTTTTTTATTACTTGTATTCCCACATGTCAAGGGACCCTATACCATAGACTATCTTTTAATGCACCTTTAAGAACCAACTTCAATTACTAATTATTATATAAACTTACTAATTTACCTGGGCTTTTCAGTTATCGTATGTTGATACGGAAGTATGTTCTAATTAAAAATTCGTAAACATTTTACGATGTTGCTAGTTTAAGTTTGCTCTACGTCATTTTCGAGGTATGTCATGGAAGTGTAGATGTACTCCGAGAAGGCCTCCCACAATCATTGTATACTGTCGTCATATAACCTTAGTTACTGCGAAGACAAACCCAAACAAAATCTGAAATATTGCTTGCAGCATCTTTGATTATGCTTTCCTGTTTTCAGTAATATTGGTCAATTTGTTAAACAATGTACATCGTAACTAGCTCGATATAAAACATATAGGAAACATTACGCTCCCATCCATATTACATTACTTATAGCTATTAAGTGTGTCATTCATAAAAACAATTTGTTAATTATCATAGCCTACATTATATCAAACATAGACTCATGCTCACCCCTCAAGGCCTGATCTATAGGTAAAAGAATTACATGTCGTTAACCATTGCATGATCGTCGAATGCAACTTACATTGTATATTATCCAATTCCTACACATTTAGTTTCTTTTTTGCCCTTTATATGTTGTTATATGTATGTGGGGCTCGAAAATGATCTGCTGCACTCATTGCAACATCTGGTAGACAGGCCCCGTACGACCTTAGCTACTACAATGACTTAATGTATTAAGATTTCCCATTAAAAATAAATATGACAATTTGGTATAATTGCAATACCTATGATGCGAAAAGACATCCATTGGTGTGGCAGTGTCATGTATGTGATCTAATACGTTTTATTTTTGTTGTGATTTCACTGTGGAAAGAGTAAAAAAGAGGTTCGAAGAAAAAAATTGTTGTATACTACTACATCTCGTAAAAGCCGACTTATGTGCCTCCATCCCCCTTGTAGAATCGTGGATTTTCTTCTTTGCGTTCTGTTTAGCGAAACCAAAGTTGACCTGTGACCCCTGCTGCAAGGACGTTGTAACAAAAAAGAGATTACTTATGTGTAGGCAAAACATTATTCGAACTAAAAAGTCGATAAAGTACGGTAAAAACAGGAACAAATGAAAGATTGTAATATCTTACACGTTAAATACAGCGAAAGAATAGGACCAGGAATTCCGGAAGGGTAAGCGGCTTCTGCTTAGTCGACAACACCAGTCATGTAAATCTATGTCATACATGAACATGTGTCAATGTTATGTCACGTCCTGCCGCGAACTTGGGTAGTGACAGGAAAATGCATAAGGCACAAGTTACAGAGACTATTTTAGTAATACTTATAAAGATATTCTGTACATACTTATATAAATACATAACTTTGATAAAAGCCCCTAAAAAGGAGAAGTAAAAAGACATTTGATATTTTGTGACTTCAAAAAATGCTTTCTTAAATATCGAATAAAACATTTAAATTCTAAACAAATCAAAGCCTGATTACATCGAATAACATTGTTTATAAGATGTTCGCCTTATCGTTAAACCCACATTATGTTAAGTTCCATCTATAGTCTATAGTATATG